AAAGAGCTTTGAATCCGATGTGGCATTTTCTGTGAAATAGGTTTTGAAATAAACAGGGCTGAGTTTTAGAAACTAAATATCTGAAAATTTAGAGAATCTGGCCGAGAGGGTAAAGGTGATGCTACTCAAGAGTAAGGGGGGATTCAAGAGCTGGGAAAAGAAAATTGTTACAGGTGTAGCCTCCAGTGACTATATATCAGTTATAACTTTGAAGTGTTTTAAGGTTACATAGCTTTAAATCTTAACCTTCTACAGTTCATTACCAAGGGTCCACGGATCATACGTTTGGTGAGTTTGGGAGTGAAGTTAGGTTATTTAAAATTATTTTAAGAAGTATTAATAATCCAGAATGACTGTAAGTAGGGCTTTTTACACAGCATACCTAGTTTCCTTGTTAAATGATGTCACATACAGTATTAACTCAGTCTACAGACATTGTATTCGTTTAAAGAAAAGTATGGGTCATAGAAATATGACTGTTGTTCCTAAGGTTCCCTGTAGATGGCATTGCTTGACTTTGTCTTTAAACAGTTTATAGACAGGAAGTTGTTAAAATAGAATATTTTGAAATGGAATCACACTTGCATTTTAAAGGTGAAGTAAATTAGATTTTAAACAGTAAATGTACCTATCATGAGTTACTTTCAGAATATTACGTGGTTGTCTTAGTTCGTTTGGGCTGCTATAACAAAATACCATAGACTGGGTGGCTTATAAACAACAAATTTATTTAACAAATTTATTTCTCACAGTTCTGGGAGGCTGGGCAGTGCAAGATCAAGTTGCCAACTTCCTCATAGGCAGCTGTACTATTATAACCTCACAGGACAGAAGGGAGAAGGAACTCCCTGGGGTCTCTCTTATAGGGCACAAATCCCACTTACGAGAGCTTCACCCTCTTGACCTACTCACCTCCCAAATGCCCTACCTCCAAATTACCATCACAGTGAGGGACTAGGTTTCAATATATGAATGGGAGAGTGGGGGGGTACAAACATTCAGGCCATAACAATAGTGTAAGTGAAAAGGGATTTTTTTCTTATAAAATTGTATTTATCTTTTTTTTTTTTTTTTTTTTTTTTTTTTGCGGTACGCGGGCCTCTCACTGTTGTGGCCTCTCCCGTTGCGGAGCACAGGCTCCGGA